AAAAAATATATTTTAAGGTTAATTTTAAATTAGGTCTACTTTTCGTCTTAGCGCCTCATATTTTCTAAACATTTTATTTCAGTCTCTAAAATTTTCAACAAATATCCTATTGAACCTTATGGTTAAATCAACCCTTCTCATTTGGGCTATTTCATTAGCATGCTCGTTTGAAGCTAGTCCATCTTGCACATTTTAATTTTCACATTGTAATAATAGACACGAAATTGAAAGTTTAAAGACTTAGAATAAATAATTTTAGGTGCTAAATTTGTAAATTAACGTTCAAATAAAGGAGAGTACTTGTAATAAATGATTTTTTTTACTCTAATGAATCTAAATGGAAACAAATTTTCCAAAATGTCCTTAAATTCAATTCCATGAATTTCACCCGTACAAAAAATAAAATGAAAAAAAAAACGAAAAAAACTTCTTTTTTGCCCCGCTCCGGTGGGGCCAAATTACATTAAATAAAATGGAAAAAAAACTATATAATTAAAGGAGGAGAAAACAGGAAGAAATGGTGTCAGATAGGTAACATGTGAGAGGTGTATGGAGGTTCCTGCACCCAATTACCATTGTCCCCTGATTTTACTACACGTGGCAGAATGATGAATAGTCAGCACGCCTAATCAGTCGACACGTGGCTTTCATGACAAAATAAAATAAAATAATGAATGCATGGGACCATTTTGCCTCCGACAGCAAAAGGGTTATGTGGGAAAGGGACTTCAATGTCTTTGTTGGTAGATGTTGTGTTGTTGCCTAGCCTATATAAAATGTATTCATTTGAACCTTTTTCCTTTTTCTAATTATTATTAATAAAATTTTTTTGACCTTTCTAAATAACTTTCATATTTTAAATGTGGAGTTCTATTGATGGAAAAGAATAAAATTTAGTTGCTATATTCACTTTATCTTAGCAATTTGGATCACACACCAACCATTAATTTGGAACCTAAAGTTAAAAAAAAAAAAAGACTCATGTCATCTTCAAATGATTTAGATTGGATATAGATTGGATAGGATTTACTTTTATTAAAAGAGAGAACTATATAAACATATTATAATATGTACCAATTTAAATGACCCAACTTTGATTAATTAATATATGTCACGTCATTTATAAAGATGTAACTTTAAAGAATGTTTTGTTTGTTTGTTTTTATTATTATTTTCTTCATTCTTATTGGACGGCACACACATGACCTTTTAAGAAAATATTATTTTTTTAACTTTTCTTTTTAAAATTTAAATATACAGTATTTACCAACTATTTTTTGAAAAATTATGATTACTAGATGATATTTTAATTCACCTCATCCAAAGTGCAAAAAAAAAAAAATTCTAAACCTCCATAACTCTAAATTGTGGTTACCGTTTTTCACCCATCACTCCAAATCGACTTTTTACGGTAGTTTTGATATTTCTTGTTCTTTTTATTATAACATTGATGAAATTGCCTTTTGAAGATTGTAATAATCTTTTCGAGAGCTAACTATAAGGTAATGTCAATCATAGCTTGCTCTAGGTACCTATATCCGACGAAATGTTACGAGTTCAAATTCTCATCTCATATGGTGTTAGTTATATTTGAAAGAGAAAAAAGAAAAAGTTAACTATAAGGTAATAAAGGTATGCAAGAGTTTCTTCCAATTTGACAGAGATAACCAACTTTCAAATGGAAGACAAACAGAAGAAAAGCTTAACTATAAAATACACCAACCTAAAAGAGTTGACTGTAAGATCCACTCGTCCAACAAGAACAAAAGTCAAGTTAGCCATAGTGATTCGATGACATTTAAAAGAAACCTTTTCAAACTATCCCTAATATACCAAAAAGAAAACCCAGCAAAGGTAGGTGGGGAGTGGAATTGGATACAAATTTTGCAACAAAAGGATCTCTCTCTCCCTTAAAAAGATCTTTGATGTGGACAGGAGGGAATGTTTTCTTGTACCAAAAGAGAAATTTGGGAGCAATTCATGGAAGATGATGGTGTGAGATTTAAGAGTGGAGCATGCAACTTTTCCAATTAAACAAGTCAAAGGAAGAAAGTGTGGTCTAAAACTAAGCACAGTAACAAATCAATGCGTTCAAACCTTCTCAGCCACTCATCCAAATTAGACGCCATGAAAGACTTGCTAACCAAAACAATATCAAACACCTCGCCGACATTTCTTTTCATCATGGTTTTCTAATTTGTCATTTTTCTCCCCCTTTTTTGATCCTCCTTCTAACAGATAACAATGTTTTGGTTTTACACGTGGTCGAATAAGATTTGGTTTTCTCAATAAACAGTCAGAGTCAGCTTCTTGATCACACATTGACCCAAATTCAATCAGTTATTCAATTTCCTTAATGGACCCAATCTAATGGTTCTATATTCAGGAATTGGGATTTTCAATTTCAAGCCCAAATGGGAGAGGGATTCAAATCAGGCCCAATGGAGATATCCCAGATCACTAGAGAAAACCTTGGCAAGCTACAAGTATTAGTATTACAATCATGAGTGTTGGTTTGTTGAACAATTCAATGGACAAGATTTAAAACTCTCTAGCCAATAGACATGACAACCTCAAGCATGATGAAGAGACTTCTAACTACTAAATCGAATAATTTTCATACAACAGACATGATCATATTTGACTCTTTCGCAGATGACATATATATGGAGGAGATAAGAGATGCAGCAAAGCTTTATAATTTCATATATTCACACTAACCCCTTGCAGATAACACGTCAAAGTTGCCAATATCTTCATTTGGGGAAGATCCCTCAAGCTGAGAAGTTCTTCGAAGATTTCTGTTGAAGGGATTATCGTCTCTCTCCTGCGATGACTGCTTGAATGCTACCTGGTGCAGATGCAGAAATGCAAGCATGCTAATTGCAACCATGGCAGCATTGCTGAGTATCCCACCCACATTATCCATTTTGAGAGATTTCTTTGCAAAGTTGAAAGTTGAGAATAGCATCTTGATCAGAGTATTAGACCTCTTTGAACTGTTCGGCATAAGCTTCTGACCATTCGGGCTAAATGGTGGACCATATTGATTTTCATGTGAAACAAAGTTAGCTTCATAACGTACATCTCCAACAAATGCTAGAGCTTCATTGATGACTTTGTAGTTCTTGCCATGATGTTCAGCTAATCTCATTGCAAGAACAATTCTACTCTGCTCGAGTCTCGCAATTGCAGCATCTCTCTCAACCTGCTGTTGCACTTGTACGGTCTGCTAAACATAAAGAATTTGCTAAGCATGAATATTCTCTCCAAAGAAAATCATCATAACCCACAAGTAATAAGAAATAAAAGAACGCAAATGCTGTTCATTACTGCACTCATTTTATAATGAAGCATCCGAGTGAACTTTCAGTTCCATTCAAGGTCTCCTCTCAGCTAGGTAGCAGTGGTTAGTTTAGTTTGTCGAATTAATAAGAAGAAACTCGACCTTGGCTAGCAGACTGTCTTCAAAACAATTTGCTGCTTTTATTTTCAACTATGATTGAATGAATTGAAAAAATTCAATATCTACGCCATTATCTCAACATATGTACATTGCATTTAAATTATCTCAACAAAAAGCTTTCCTCCCTTTATTGAAATGAAAAACTTCAATTGTACTATAAAAACGTCACGATCAAAACGAACTANGAAATGAAAAACTTCAATTGTACTATAAAAACGTCACGATCAAAACGAACTAAAGGAAAACAAGAAAGAACTTTTCGAAAAAGAGTTACCCAACATGTCTTTCCAGAAATTTGATCTTATAAAAACAGAAAACTGTTCTTGGAAGCCTTCTAAACAGCCCTAAGAAAATAAAAAAAAAAAAAAGAAAAAAATCCAAGGCTATATGCACATGCTATTGCTAAACTTAATTCAACTTGGTGGATAATCTTAATAAAAGAAAAAAAAGAAGAGGAATATCCCCTCCCTTAAACCTCCCTGAAATCATAATATAGAAGTTGGAATAAGAATAAGTAATCAAACTATAACAGTCACTTCTAAACAGAATCAAACTATAACAGTCACTTCTAAACATATGCACGTTGCATTTAAATTATCTCAACAAAAAGCTTTCCTCCCAGCTTAAACCCCATAGATTATAGAACAAAAAGGATAAATCCAGTCATTTGCACAAGTTTCCAGTAACCAGAGACCAAGCAAAACAGAAGCTACAAGTAATTAGTACTCCATATTTAGGGTAATTGGGCAATGGCGTTGAACAAAAATTAAGGACGCTAAAGAATAATGAACTCAAGACTCTCGTTTCCCTATCCTCCACTGCATTTCAGCCATCCAGACAGCAGCAAACATAGAAAACCATAAATTACAGATTTAACTCCGATTGGGAAGCAAGAAACACCACTTAATTGAATCACAAACATAGAAAACGACATAGAAGCTGTTCGTTTGGGTAATAACGGAACCCCAATCAGATTCAAACACCACTTAATTGAATCACCACTTAATTCCTCACTGGTAAAGTAAAGAAAAGAGTTAATAATAGAAGCGCAGGAAAAAGGGTAAAAGATTCAACATACGTGGAGAAACTCGAGCTGATCTTCAAGGTTCTCAAGCGCAGTTCGGATGGCATTTAGACTCCGGGCCTCCTGGATCGCGGAGTCGTCAATGTCGATCCGGAATTCCTTAAGGAACGGGAAGGCGGCAGAAGGGTTATCGTCGGCACCGCCATTGGGGGTCTTAGAATCCTTGTTTTGGGATTTCCTGAGATTCTTAGTGGAGGTGAGGAAGTGATCTCGGGAAATTGAGTGAATGGCTTCGCTGAGCTTGTCGTGAATGTCCCAAATTTTCTCGAGGACGGCCTCGATTTCCTCGATCTCCATGTCCCATTTCATGGAGGGAAACACAGAGAGAAAAGAGAGGGAAGAAGAAGCAAAATTTGGGGAAGGTATCTCAAATTCTCTCAGGGGTTTGGATTGTTTTGTTTGGGCCACACAAAAAGACCAACAAATTTTACACTGCAACAAATTTCTGTTGGAATTATTTATTTATTTTTATTTTTATTTTAACATCATAGATAGTTGCTTTGGGAAGTGACTATAAATCTTATAAATTTAGTCTTATGGGTATATATTTGATTAATGGATTTAATTACATTCTAACATTATTAATGGAATACTAATGATACTATGCTCTCAGATACCTCAGATGCCTCTTTTTTTTTAAAGTACAATCAGCATGTAATGGCTATAATTGGACCTCCCTCCGACGACCCTTAGAGAGAAATTATTAGATAATTGAATAGATTAAAATTTTTTAATACAACAAAGATAGAAATGAGGTTTGAACCTTCGACCTTAATAAAAGGATGTTGATGTTAGCGATTGGATACATACAACACCACGATATTTCATTATATTATTGTGAGTGATGATAAGACTTAAATATAATTGTTTTTTAGAGGTTAAAGGAACTCATTAAATACAATTTCAACTCATACGAATAAATTTATAATTTAACGTGATTATCTTTTTGGAAAAAATAGGAATAAAATGGAAAGAAAGGTGTAAAATTTGACCCCATATATTTTATTTTCCAAGTGGCCGGTGCCCTTGTACTTAAAAAAGGTGTAAAAATCGAACATAGACCAACCAAAATTTAAGGGAAAATGGCAAGTTTTCACTTTTTGTCACAAAGTTGTTCTCTTCGATTACAGTTATTACAAAGAGTACAGAGACAATATTATCTTAAATTAACATCATCACTAGCATATAATCAGAGCAAAAAAAGCACTATCTGCATTTTGCTCTTTATTTCTTCGTCATCTCCAATCCCTCACAGATAAATATACTTCACAAACACACATACAAAGATAATATCATTAAACCCTAATTTTATGTTCTAATAGAATGGGAGAGAAACATAATTTAATCTTGTCCTTTAATCACATTTCACCTTCCATTGGGGTTCCTGATTTTCCCATGGATCTCACCGGCGGCAATTGGGTTTCGTTATCGCCGTGGCCGCCATCCTCGCCCGATATCTCCTCCAGCGACCGACCTTTCGTCTCCGTCACCAAGAACGTAAACACAAACCCTAGCATGTTGGTGAAGGCCAAGAAAATCATGGCCTTTTGAATCTTGCTTGCGGTACCATCTAAAGTATAGTTTTGCACCCCGAAAGCTCCAACGATGGCACCGGCCTTCCCCGACGCAGCACTCAGCGCGTGGCACGTCGAGCGAATCCTCGTCGGGAAAAGCTCAGCCGGGAGGACAAAGGTGGTGCTGTTCGGACCAAAGTTGGCAAAGAAGAACGTCAGGCCGTAAATCACCGCGAACTCCACGGGATGATTCTTCAAATAATTGTAGCGGACACCAAGCACGGCCATGAAGACCGACATCATGAAGAATCCAATCAGCTGGATCTTGAAGCGGCCGAGGCGCTCGATGAGGAAGACAGTGAACCAATATCCGGGGAAGGTCCCAAGTAGGGCAACAAGAAACATGGCCTTTGAAGTTTCGTAAACCTCTTCCAAAGCATTAACTTGTTCAGGTTTCTTGGTCAAGTTCATGGCCGGGAAAATATCCTTTTGCGTGAGGTTGTTGCTGTAGAAGGCAATGTCGAGCAAAAACCAAGTGGTGGTGGTTCCGATTAAGTGGAGGCCGTGGCGGCTGAAGAACTCTTTAGAGAGCAAACCATATTCATTTGCAGATTTGAATTGGGAAAGCTTGTCTTGGTCAGCTTGGATTGAGATCTCCAGAACCTTTCCCATGTCCGCGGCGGCTTGCTTGGCGTTGCCTTCGATGAGAGCGGTGTAGCGGCCGGTTTCGGGCATCTTCATTCGCCAGTAGTATGTCAACATGGCTGGTAGAGCGCCGAGCATCAGCACGATCCGCCATAGGAAGTCACCTTGAGGCTGTGTGGAGAAGACGTGGTTGCTATTGTAGGATGGAGCGTCGTGAAGGGTCAGGAAGAGTTTTGACAGAGTCATCGACACTAGCCCTGCAAATATCAGCCCCACACCCTACAATAATATGCGTTTTAATCAGTATACTTCCTTCGATGATTCTCACTATCATTGAAAATTTGACAGTCATTCATTTTCATAAAAATTTTTTGGTTTTATATTTTTCTCTCTCAATTGTCAAACAATTAACGATGCCGACAAGGAGAAGATTGATCAGAGCCAAGTAATTTGAAACTTTTTAGTAACTTCTTTCAACTTTGTATATTGAATTCCTTTAACAAGTTTCTTTTGATGGGTATTTGAATATTGAGAGCTTTCTGAATTCTTTTTGTATTTAGTTCTTACGAAGAGATTGTGTCTATTTAATCCCTATATTTTAAAAACATCTAAGCAATTATTGAAATTTTAGGATTTTAGTCTACATATTTTTAAAAATTTAAATATATCTTGAATTTTTAGATTATATATATACACATATACACATGTACACATATAATCCCTATAGTATAGTAATTAAAAAAATGACTAAATCATTCTTAATTATTTAGCCCGAATTTAAGACCAGACAACAATAATTTTTAATATTAAGTTCATTTGAAGATTCGAATCTAAAACTTCGTAGTAACTGATATATGTTCTTGTCAATGGACCACTTCTTGGGAGCAGAGATCTATTAGAAACCTTTAAAAAGTAGGACTAATTAAACAAAGTTGAGAAACAATTAAGGGTCTAATTCGAATGATTAAAAATGGAAGAAAATTAAGTTAAGAAGATGATGTGAGATTTGAATTATTGATGAGTAGAATTAGAACCTGCATGGCGAAGACAGCTGCAATGAAAGCCCCGCGAGTCTTTTTGTTAGCATATTCGGACATGATGGTGGCTGAAAGTGGATAGTCGCCGCCGATACCAAATCCAAGCCAAAATCTAAAGAAGCAAAGTGTACCAATCACTGATCTTGATGTTGATCCAAAAGACAGGCCCGAGCAAATGGCACAAAGGACCATAAGAATTAGGGTCACCCCATAAACTTTCTTCCGCCCAAGTTTGTCACCCAACCACCCGAAGAACAGCTGCCCCATTAGGGTTCCGACCAGCGCAACCCCGACGACAGCGTTATTCACTCCGTTCGGAAGCTTTCCGGGCTTCAAGCTGCTGGGATCGAAGTAGTAAAGTCGACCGAGAAGCTTCGACACGGTCGAGATACAGAAGAGATCGTAGGCATCGGTGAAGAAGCCCATCCCCGCGATCACAATTGCAGTAACATGGTACCATTGTGTGCGAGCGTTGTCGAGGGCATCAAGCACGGCGAGGGCCATGGTTTTCGGTTTCGGTTCCAAGCTGAGATGTTTGTGTTGCTTGCTGGGGTTGTGAGTGTTTGTTACCATTTTATAGCGATTTATGCATTGAAATTAGTATAAAGTGAGAGAGTGATGAGAAGGATGACGTTTAATCCTAGGTTGTGAAGAACAAGGAGAAATTTAGCTAATCAACAAAGAGAATATTGAGCATATTCTTCATTTTCTTACAGATAATCTTGAGCTAAATGGACCTAAGAGACAGCGATGTAAAAGAAATTTCACTACTCATAATTATTACTCTCTAATTAGGAAGAATTTTTTTCCCATCTCTTTTTGGTTTTTCCAAGGCTGGAATCTACAAGGCTAGCTGTTAACTTATGTAAAAGAGAAATTATTAATAGGTTTTTGTCGTAAATTTTTGTTAAGTATTTAGAAAATAATTCTATCATATATATATATATTGGTTTTTTGCAGTGTGTTTTTGGGTGTGCGATCAAACTTATGCTCCACAACTTAGTTGTCAATGTCATATACACAATCCATCAATTTTTATATTGAACATTGCCCCTCCCATGATGAGAATGGCCAAATAATTTTTTTAATCATGAACGCAAATGATGATTATCCTTGGTGTTAAATATCATGATATATTTAATTAAAGGGAAGGAGGATCTTCTTGACTATATGGAAAGAGAAGATTTTAGTCGATGTACCTATGTGGACATTTATGGTGTTTGTTTTATTTGCGTAATTAAACATTATGGATCGACACAAATTCTTTATTTGGTTTTTGATGCATCTTAGCTGGAATATTGCAGAAGAGATTTAAGAGAGATTTTCCTTTAAGACTGTTCACAAAGACAATTACCGTTAAGTTAAGTTCATCATTACAAGAATTACTAGCTTTCCTGACATTTTGAAGATTTTTCTCAACATTTTGAAGTGTCGGAAAAAAAAATATTTCTTGTAGTTCATGTTGGCTTCTTTGGATGTTCTTTGACATAAATTCTTGTATATATCCTCCCAAGCTTTTTTTACCTCAAAATATTGATATCTTTATTAAGGCCATAATGACTTTACGATTGCAAACTCAAATTGAATGTAGCTCATAATGTAAATCACATCCGGAAGAAATTGTGTTACATCCGCTTCAACTTGGTACAAAAGATTTTCCTATATTTTGTAATTATGATATTGTCATTATTGTCCTGAATTGAGATGCCTTTACACCCATCTTTCCTTTTGTTGTATGTACCTCAACATACGTGAATATATACATAAATTTTGGAGATTAGGAAATTAAAGTAGCCATCGCTTAATTGTTCGAATTGTAAATTTGCTCAAGTATTAATTAAACGAGCTAAATTATTTATCAAAATGAACATACCTCAACGATAATTGACATATATCTAATTATTTTGATCGTAAATTTGCTCGAGTACCAAACTAGATGCAATTAATAAAGTTAAAAAGACATTATATAATCCAAGTCAAAATATATAATACATTATTTCAAATGTTTTTTTTTTCTTTTTTTGAAAAAAGTTATTTCAATCAAGACCAGTGTCTTCAGCTTCAAGCATCCACGCAGGGACCTCTAAAAATTCAGAACCAACCAGATTACCGGTTCTTCCGATTATTAGCTTCTCTTCTGATAAAATCGATTGATACCACCGATTTCTCCTTCAATAGTGATCGAATTTCGTCCGCGACCCAGAAAATTTTCGAGGCCTCTTCCTCGTTCACCAATTTCTTCACTTCCATGGAGTCTGTTTCAAGGTAAATATTCCGAACCTGCTGATTTCGTATGTGTCGCAGTTGCTTCGAGAATAGCCATGGCTTGAATCTGTTGTGCTTGGGATTAGCCCTGATTGATGCCTTGAATTGCTGGGATTTGCCTCTTTCTTGTGACTTGGGTTGGTAGATTGGATTTGTAGCTGTCTTTCAATTTGGAATCTGATTGTTTGTTGATTGGGACTTTCCACACCATGGTTATAGCTATCTCCAAATCTTGATTCGTGGAATGTTCAACTATCCAGTCCCAATAGCCCCTGTTTGTTAGCAATGTCCTGTCAACAAAAGTAGAGCTTATATTAGAGTATAGAAAATAGTTCCAAAAAGGGTCCTGTTACCTTTCATTCCCAAACAAGATGTTTTATGGTCTCCACTTCTTTCCTGCACAAAACACACCAAAAATCAATTTGAACTCCTTTCTTGGACAAATTTGATTTAGTAGGAAGGATATCATTCACCAGTTTCCAACAACCGATTTTTGCTTTTTAGAGGTCTTCTACATTGCACAACCCGTTTTTATGGTCTGAAGGAGAGGGATAAGCCAAGCCAAAGTGGTAAGCACTTTTTATCGACAAGAACCCTCTTTAATCCGGGCCTTACATGATCACATCATTCATATCTCTTTTAGGCAAAGGGATCTGAAGAGTGAGGTTGGCCTCCGACTCCATATAGCTGTTCCGAATCCTCTCTTCATTCCAAAAACCTGTAGTTGTCATGTTGCCGGCCACATTTTGGTCATACATGGGCGTTGGACAGGAGAGGATTTATAAGATCCCTCTCTGGGCAGCCATAGATCCGATCCAAGGGACACCGAAAACACATATCCAGTTCTCCACCGATAACCTTTTTCAAAAAGCTCAATGATACTTCTGTAGGTATAAGGTGGATTGTTGCCTAGCTTAGCCTTCAAGAAGCCGTCCATTTTGAAGTTTGTCTCTTAGCATCCGAAACAGGAGATTATTTTGATTTTCCAGAATCCTCCAACTATCCTTAGCGAGCATGGCCTGGAATATCATTTTCTTATTTGTCACTTTTTCCTCACAAATTAGAAACTCCACACCAATTTACGATTTAAAGCCCCTCTCATAAATGGATGACATGCTATTATAAGTCCTCCCTTCTATTATCCTATCATGATATATTATTTTGTATTTGATCATTATGAAAAAGTAAGTTAAAACACATTTAGAATTAATCAAATCAAAACACAATTTAAAAAAAATTCATAACAAAGTCATGCACAATGGTTAGATCTTTGTCTTATTAATTAGGTGCAAAATTCTCATAGGAGAAAAAAATCATCATCTTATCTCATGCCCTAAAACTAGAATAAATGAAATCATTTATCAATCTCTATGATTATAAATACAAAACAACCCTCCCTGATAGGGTATGCCCATAAATTTAATTACACAGAACCCCCTAAGTTTTCATATTTTCCCATGTGGTTTCCTCCCAAGTGTTATTATTATTATTATTTTAATTATTTGTTAAGACTATTGAATCACGATCTGTTGTTGTATTACCAACAAAGAAGCTCTACTGTTGATATCTGTTGAAGCAATCAAATCTCCAAGAACTCCAAGCTCTGGAAACTCATTCCACTCATTGAGACCATCAGTTTGAGACGATTTTAAGCCATTTCTTCTCCCTACTATCATAAGATCAAACAAATTTACTATTTTTCTAATAATGAATGCCGTTTGTTGCCCATCTCTGCACACGTCCTCCTTGTACACCACTCTACCATCTCCCAAACACTTGCTTCTAAAATCTCTTAGAACTTCAGCATCAAG